CTAGAATATGAAAAACAAACATTTCCTTTATATAATTATATCTGCAACGAATCAAAAATAAGGGAGAAAAAACACAGGATTCAAAAACAGTGTAATTCTGTAAATTGCCACCTACCATAATTTGTGTTTTAATATTAAAAAATAAAAAATAAAAAGATTGAACACCATCATTGTTATTTCATGTGACAGTGGTCAAATTAACACCATTAAAAATTATACACACTTTTTAAGTTGTGAATACTGTAGCACCTCCTAAAGCTTTAATGTATGCTGTACTCATATCAGTGTGAGGGCACTAGGAACACAGGTGGAGCCCCTGTGCATGTGTTTTTACTGATATGCAAACTTAACTGAATAATGCTGAACAGCAATTATTTCGTTCATGGTTGCAGAGCAAAAATACTCTTGCATGCAATTGTTAGTACTCCCATCACTAAAGGCATAGCTCATACTTTCTGATTTAGTTATGTTGTTAAATATACCATGTAATGTAACCTTTGTGCACATTTGTAGCTATTTATATAGAACCCAGTATACAATATTTAATCTGTATCAGCGAAGTATAGCCTCCTTCTCCCATAAATGAGATTAACTGAACAATTACTATGTTAAAGATGTAAGCAAGTCTTTCTCACTATTCTTTTCCACCCAAGTGAGGAGCATATATTTAAGTGAGATATGTGTGATGGCAAGCAAGCTCACCCATCTAGTAACTGTTGACCTATATAAGAAGAGACATACCATATTTTCACCTAATTTATAAATAGAAACCAAATCTTTCTTTTCTGGGAGCATAAACATCTTATGCTCATAGTAATACAAAAAAAAAAAAATTAAAGAGGAAACAGATGATACATGTTTATTTTGCTGTACTGCAGAATATAAATTGTTTCTGTCTTGTGAGTAAAGCACATTGTGAAACATATTAATACTCCATGGTGCACAACTATGAAATGCTACTTGTATTTCAGACTGTAATCCATCTGAATGTACAAGTAGTAAGACAACTCCTGAAGTCTGCTTGAACACCTTCTTTTGGACCAAGTGAACTAGATCAGCATATATTTATAAAATTTCAGGGTTTCTTATATCTCTTTTGGTTTTCTTAGTTTACCCTCTTACTCAAAAATGGTTTTTAAAATTTGTAAAATTTTGAATGAGATCTTATTACACAGGAAAACAGTTGTGTGCTAAGAATTTATATAAGATTACTGATTTTTTTCAAATGGTTAATTATTATTGAAATGTGCTACTTCACTTCCACAGGCTTCCTTTAATTGCTGAGAGAAAGAAAAGTTTAACTAGAAATTATACAAGCGTACATCACATATAGCTGAATAAATACACCCCTTCTTCACACCCTTTTCCAGTTTTTACATGTATTGTCTGGTTTCTATCAAAACTGCACAGGAAAAAAAAAAAAAAGTGTGAAAAGAATCTCTCCCACTTTTACAGTGATTCCTATCTAGTGTCCCTCTGGTTTTACACTTCAGCAGAGTGGATGATGACCTTCCCACCAGTTGGAGTTCTTCCACTCAAAACCATTTCTACATTCTCTTTGCTCTTTATAGTCTTTGTGTACTGAAAAGGGATTAAAAAAATTGAGTAAGGCCTTAAAGAATTTTTTATTCTTCTTTGATGCATGAAGAGAGCCACTAAAATGCTTATGGGAATTCAGGAGAGAACAAAGCTTTGAAAGTGAACTTGGTGAAGCTAAAGGCCTGGTAAACCACCTAAAAGAAAACCTACAGCAAGTGCTGCAGCATGCCAGAGCTACTAATGGCTATAGTCACACATAATTCTCCTACACATTTTGAATAAACACAGTAGACATTTACAGCACTAAAGCTGTCTGGACACCTCTGTACAAGAATTACTCTGTGTGTATACCAGCACTTTGGCGATCTTGAATGCTGACTTTCTAATGAGTGCTATGCATAATTCCCACAACTAAACATTAAAATAACCTACAGACAATAACTTGTATTTTATTTTACTATATTAGGTCTCCACATGCATTTGTAAATGAAATATTTATTGAAACATTCTGAATTAAAATTACAGCTGTAGAAAGATGAATCCTTGTAGAAGCCAACAAAAGATCAACAATCTGGAGAGAACAGCAGTACAATTTTTAACAGCCTGATGTATTTTACACTGCTTTAGAACCCTATCTGGCAGTGGGAGAAGATAGGCAGTCAATAGGAGATTTTTCATTATTAATGGAAGATGTTATCAGAACCAGCATTCTGTATCTATAGACAATGAACAGTAATAGAAATGATCAGCTTTATAAAGCATCTTTCTTACAAAGTAGGACGATTCTTTATACAATTTACTAACATTTACGATGGATACATACAATAAACATAAATCTTCCTGTTCTACTACCCAGACGACAGACTATTAAAAGGGAATCATCTGTATTCATAATAGACTTAAAATGTTATATAGGGACTCAGGAGCTGGTCTAATATCATTGCTAGGCTTCTTATGAAATATTCTCTATTAACTTGTTTGATTAATTTCCTTAGCATATTTTTCAGGATTCAGGATTCAGAATTCAGGAAGAATTTGACATTACAATTTTAAAATCAGTGCTGTCATGTTATGATGTAGATAAAGCACTTCCATGACTTAGTCATACTTAGTAAGAGTTTGAAATATGATAATAATTGTAAATTAATTCCTTTATTTTCTCAAGATTAGTCACAGGAAAAATGAGGCATCAAATGAATATCCTTTTCTTTATAAAAGGTGGCACGTATTGTGCCAACATGGAAAAAGTCACAAAATAGAACTGCCTACCACCCTTTCAAAATAATCATGAGTTTGGGCAAAGAAGAACGAAAAATAATTTCTTTATACTTTTTGTCTAGTATGCTCCTGTCTGTAGCTGAGAATTTCATGTAGCCATTCATGAAGAACATGGTCTGAACTTGGGTAGACCTGTGCGGTGTCAAGAGTTGGACTTGATGATCCTTAAGGGTCCCTTCCAACTCAGGATATTCTATGATTCTATGATTCTAAGAATGTACACTGTGTAAACAGCATTGCACTTCCAGAAACAAGATGACTTTGAACTATGGTAGGAAAAAGAGAGATAATTCCCAGCTTTGAAGAGGAATAATAACTTTGTACCATGTGGTGGCCAAATACTATAACTCTATCTGATTCCTGTCCCATTTCCTTTTCCAGACCCTATTGCCTTCTTCCTCACTGTTTCCATCTTGGTTCTCACTGTCCAAAGGTTCTTCTAAATTACTGGAACTTCTCAGTGTTGTTTTCAAAGCCACCTAAATCACTTTGCCTCTAGGTGTAGCAAGTGTTCCTATCTGAATACGAGCGGAGCATTACCACTGATAGCCCTTCATGTTTTCAGGGCTAAAATTATAAGCAAAATCTACAAGTCATGACATAACTATTAATCCTAAATCCCAAATCATGAGCATACCTCTGCTTCCTGCCTGCAGATCTGCTTTTATTTGGTATATGCATACGTTACATTACTTTCTATTGTTAGCAAATGTAGAATTTATCTATATGCATGAAAAACACTTTAGGCAAAACAAATATGGATTTTTCACATGAACATATATATATAAACATAAACATATACTACGTAAACTCTCACACACACAGAGTATTCTATAAAAATATTTAAACAGTCAATGTCCTTTTAGCTTGCTGAAAATCGATGATTCACAGTAAACTACCTCAGAATTATACACTTAAACACATAATATAAATACATAAAATATCATTTCATTCAGAGGAATTCAAGCAAAAACACAAACTGGGAAGATACTGCTAAATGTCTAAATAGAATTGTGCATGATTAGCAGATTGTCATCTGTTTTAATTGCTCTTTTGCAAATGGCAGTGTTCAGCAAGATCACATAAGCTCATGCTTGTAACTAAAAGTGAAAACACTACTACTGTTAAATCTCATTTGTTTTGGGCTGTGGACTGATATGACACAAATTCTAGCCAGAGTAAGAGAGAATTTTTTAGATCAACTCTGTAATTAAGACTCACTTTGAGGTTTTTGAATGAACATGCATGAGTAGTTAAAAGGTCATAAATGTTACAAAAAAAACTAACAACAATAAACAAAAATGGATCTGGCATAAATGTTTGCAATGCTGAAACAAATCATATGCCTTAAAATGCATTTCCACAGAGATGTCAACTTGGGGATAATTCACACTACTGTTCTATGGACAGCCTATAGTATATCTATGGATCTAACATTATCTTGAGTTAAAAATATAAAGCCTCTCAAATATTATTCTCATTAATATGCATCCTTGTAAAATGATAAAATTCTACAATGAAAAGTTAATTGTGATTTTAGTTGCAAACAAAATAAATCATACATTAGAAGATAATGCATGTATTTCTGTCATTCACTGCAAGTCACATCAGGGATGTTTGCCATCCAAATACATCACATTTTAGACTGTATTCTGAGAGCTGCTTTAAAAATAAACATAATAACAGTGATAAACATGAGTGTCATGAGTGAATACTGCAGTCTTTATGATAATCTGCAAATCAACATCAAAGGTGTGATGTCACACCTGAATTTAGTCAGTTGATACCACAGAAAACAGTACTGAGGAAAACTCTCCATAGTACTTGGGTAAGGTGTTTCCTACAGTGAGGAGCTCTGGAATACAAAGGAAATAGAAAAAAAAATTACAGAATTTTTGGCAGAATGTCACGGACGGCTAATAGAAAGAAACCCACAGAGATTTTTTGCTTAAAAAAAATGTATGAGAAGAAAAATGAATAAGGAAATCAGGAATCTCAGTGGAAACTTTGGAAAAGTAAGATTAAGTTTTGGATTTATTTTGTTTGGTTGATTATTACTGGTATTATTTTTTATGATTTTAATTGGTGAGTCATAGAACAATAAATGCCAGCCCACAATCCAGGAACCTTTACAACAAACTGGACACAATTTTTGTCACTGGAATTCCTAATTATTATTAACA